CGCGGCGGGTGCCTCGCTGGTGGGCCACAGCGACGCGTGCTAGAGCCTTGCGCCGAGCCTGGTGGGCTCAGGGAGCTGTAAGGGTCTGTGTCCCTCGGCCTGATGTCCCCTTGGCTTGGCATCCCCTCATCTCGACGTCCCCTCGGCCCGCTGTCCCTCAGACCAACGTCCCCTCCTCGGCAGACCGCAACCCGCTCCGGTCCCGCCGGTCCCTTCCCAGGCAAACCAACCTCAACAGGCGTCCGCAGCCGCCGATGCAGAGTGGTTCCCAGTCATCCCCACTCCTTCGGAAAGCAGGGCAGGATTTTGGCTTCCTTGTCTGATACTTAACACTTTTATTTGTAGTATTTTAATACTTAAGACTAAACAAAGCTGATCTTCGAACTCAGAACACGTTCTTGCTTTCCATGTTTTCCCCTCCTGTTGCTAAGAATTGCCAACAGCTTGGCTTCGCTGCCGCTCAGTTCCTCCAGTTTTGTACCGTGGGATACCCGAAAGAATTAATGACGCTAGTGATACAATAACTGGACAGCTCAGGACCCCGTATGCCTCCCTTGAGCTCTCATCGCATCCCAGTGAGGTGCTAGGAGAGCTCCTCGTGCCTCTGCTGAACACCCCTCCGAGGAACCGCGTGGGCGGCAGGGAGAGAGCAGCACCTCCGACTCCTCTAGCCTTCATCACTGCAGAGCAGGAAAACGGTCCCCCAGCGTTCAGGACAGTCTTTCTGCACGCTTGGAAGTGATTGTTGGTTTGTACCTTTTCCTGTTTGCTCTGAATAGCCAACTGCTCTAGCAAGGCTGGTGGAAACATGACTACAAAGTAGATTTCTAAATCAGTTAATGGCCAAAGGCGAACTGGCTTGGGCTGTCAGCCATCCAGGATAGGGGTTCCTGATGCCACAGGCTCCTCGGTACCTGCTGGGGCTGCCCCAGGGCTGCTGTCCCCAGCGTTCACACAGCAAAGCAGGGGGATGTGAGTAGCAGAACATGCGGCGGGTGAAAGCCCAAGGTGCGCAGCCAGCAGCTCCTCCCAAAATGCCTGTCTGAAACCCCCTCTGAGCTAGACTGGGTCCTTTGGCTCTGTCCTCACTGCCTCACTCTTGGCAGCGGCCAGATAATCATGATCAGCCTTCAGTTTACTGCCTTCTCCAGACACTGGCACTGACTGTAATGATGCACTTGGCTAGAGCAGCGCCGAATCTAGCCCTTTCCATGCCTCTCAGGACTCTGCTGAGGGCAGCTGTCCTTGCATCACCCCAAAAGCCTGGTGTAAATGTAGACCTGATAAGAGCAGTCAGCTGGCTGGGAGGAGAGAGGAGGGAGGAGGATGTTGTGTGGGGAAAGTTGAAGGGTCCCTGTCTCTTAACCAGCTGAGCACATGAGCCCAGTGCTGGTCAGAGCTTCCTCCCTGGACTGACCTGTTGTAACAGCAAGGTAAGAAGCAGACACAGCCTGTAGATAAGTCATGGAAAGCCAGGGCTCACCCTCTTTGACAGCAGAATTTGCAGAGAGACTTTGTGTGGGGCATGGGAGCTGCTGAATTTGAATGTAAATGGAGAATAATGTCATGGGGAGATACTTCTTTATCTTTTCAAATGGGGTGGGGGTAATTATTGGCAGCAAAATAGTGGCCAGAGCTGTAGTTTCCATGTAGTTTTCCAGGTACGCTTGGTGTTTGCTGTGATTGTTCCTGCAGCTCAGGGAACACAGGGCTGGGGGCATGGCAGCTAAACCTGTTCGATTAGCTATTAAAGAAAATAGCCCTGGTGAAACTTCCTGAAGATATCACTCAGCACAGGTCCTTCTTTGCTGTTAGCTCCCTAATGCAGAGTCAGCCAGTGGTGCAGAGCTGAGATTAGCAGCACTGGCAGGACATGAGGACAACTACTGCCTTTATGAGAAGTTTAAACAACTGGAAAAAAGCCCTGTCTTCCCAGTTTTCTGTCTGGGCCCTTTGAAATCTCTTCAAACCATTTCAACTCCCAGGATTAATCCAGCAGACGGGATTAGGCTGTATGAAAAAATATTCCTTTCAAGTAACCACAGTGATATTTCAATCAGAAGCAGCAATGATGTCCCATTTTAAATTAACTGCAGGTAGTAAAGGTTGCCAGCTGCATTTCTGGGCTTCCCGGAAGGAGTTAGCACGGCTTTTGGAGCTCACTGCCCCTTGGCCAGGCAGCCCTGCTCCCAGCCCCGAACAGCGTCCATATAACACCTTGCTACTGACCGTGTTCCTCTGCGGTTCTGCTGTGAGGCTCTGGTACCAGCAGGGTAGGAAGCAGTGAGATTTGGGATGATAGTTTTATGGCCAAAATCATGGCAATCCGGAGGGCACAAGGGATCTGACAGATCCTCAGAGCAGCCCAAGTCATTTATTTCACGGGGCCAAACCCTCCTGCCCCAGCAGGCTGCAGACCCCAACCTGGCATCTGCCCTGCTGGGACTGGTCTCAGCGTTGGGAGGCAGCGGGTCAGCCACCTTCCCTGCAGGACAAATCCTTCTTCTTTTCCAGTTTGTTAGGCAGCAAAGAGGTTCTTGCAGTAGCGTATCTCAGAGAGATGCAGGTCTGATCCCTTGAGGGATCTGGAGAGAAAGTCTAGAAAAAAACACTTTTATTCCATGGGAAACTCCAATATTTAACATATATTTTCAATTGAAATACAGCTGAAAAGCTGAAATTGAAAAAATTCCTGGGGAATGGACAGTTTGAACAAAATGTGTGTTTGGAAACATCAAAACATTTCTGTTCTGAAAGGGTTCATTTTCCTAGTTCTAAGCTGGGTGTCAGAAACTATTTAATATACAAATACACAGAGAGCGCGGCATATGCGTCCCAGTTTCAGAAGGACTGACTCCTGGCTCCAGGATGACACTATTATAGGCTTTTCCTCAGCGGTGTAAACTGGGGTAGTGGCCATGAAACGCCACGATACCAGGGATAGTTCAAGCGCCTGGGACTTCTCTCCTGAATCCTCTTGGTTTCTGTGCAGAGCCAGGAAAGAGCAGGGTCTGCAGGCGCCCGCGTCTTTCTTGCTCCCTCTGCTCACTCACTGGCAGGCTGAGCCCTGCAGGGCTGGGCACCGCTGCCCTCCTCCTCTGACTCAGCTCTGCATCCTCCTTCCCAGAAGGGACTTTTACTAAACTTTTCCCTTCTCCATGTTTTTGCCGAGGTCTCTAAGTGTCTGGAAGAGCACGTAATGCCCCTCTTCCCCTTCGCCCAGTGCTAAATACGAGCTGATTACGCAGTTCCAAGAAACCTGATCTTTATGGCCAAGCGTAATAAACAGCACCGAGACATGTGAGATGGAGCAGTAACAGCTATTTCTGGCCTGCAGTGGATTTGTTCCCCCAATATATTGGCTGCTCCTAGCTCCCTTGGAGGAGATGAGGTCACTGTTGAATTTCAATCTGCAATTTCAAGCTGGAATTTGGGAACATTCAAAAATTGGATTTTTTTTGTAGATTTTTTTTCCCCTTTCACCTCCACTGTGAAGCGAGTGAAAAATTTCCACTCTGAAAATCCTTTTTTAACACAGGCAAGGCAACGACACTGGTTGAGGACTGAATTGGGCTAGAGTCAGGGATAGTGCCTAGGTCTCCCCTCTCCCGGTCCTGGCCCTTGATGCCTTTCAGTCAGCTTAGAAGGGTACAGGGCTTGGGAAGCAGTTTTCATCTATCCTGCCTGACCCAAAGAGTATGTAAAGTAGTGGAAGTTTTTCCCGCATCCACTGCTTAGTGTGTCTCATAGAGCAGAAGGACCCCTACAGCCCTGTTACAGGGCTCCTAACCTCTACTTTCTTGCCAGGTCCCATTTTGACGCCACCAAGATGGCACCCAAAAAGAAACCCACCAAAAAGTCTAAGGTGGTCAAAGGAGATGCATCCATCACCCCCATGATGGTGGAAGACGCTCTGCTGGATGTTGAACACCTCAATCACTTGAATGGTTTGTACGACAGCGGCTCCAACGGCTTCCACTGCACAGCTACGGAGGTTGAAGCGCCGGACCATGGAGCCGGCCTTCTGGAAGGGGTGAACAAGATGCGCCAGGAGCGCTTCCTCTGTGATCTCACCATTGCCACCAAAACAAAGTCCTTTGAGGTGCATAAACTCATCCTGGCTTCCTGCAGCATGTACTTCCACAGCCTGTTGCAGAGAGACCCCCAGCTGCACCGGGTGGAGGTCCACAACATCTCCCCGCTGGGCTTGACTTCTGTCATCACATACGCTTACACAGGGAAGCTGAGCCTCTCGCTGTACACCATCGGGAGCACCATCGCTGCAGCCACCCAGCTGCAGGTGCCAGCGCTGCTGAACATGTGCAGCGACTTCCTCATTCAGGAGATGGATGTGGAGAACTGTGTGTATATCGCCAACATCTCGGCCACGTACAGCCTCAACCAGGTGAAGGACGCCACCCAGAAATTCATCCGGGAAAACTTCCTGGAGTTCTCCAAGACTGACCAGTTCATGAAACTCCCCTTTGATCAGATCAATGAGCTGCTGATGGACGATGGCCTGCAGATTCCCAGCGAGGTTGCAGCCTTCCAGATAGCTGTGAAGTGGCTGGAGTTTGACCCGAAACGGGTCCGGTACGCTGCTGACCTCCTGAGCAACATTCGATTTGGCACAATCTCAGCTCCAGACTTGGTCAACCATGTGCAACCTGTGCCACGCATGATGCAAGATCCGCAGTGCCACAAGCTCCTCGTGGATGCCATGAACTACCATCTGCTTCCCTACCAGCAAAACACACTTCAGTCTAGGAGAACCAGGATACGGGGAGGCCAAAGGGTGCTTGTCACAGTCGGGGGCCGTCCAGCTTTGACTGAGAAAGCTCTTAGCAGGGAAATCAGCTACAGGGATGCAGAGGGAAACTGGAACAAGCTGACAGAGATGCCAGCAAAAAGTTTTAACCAGTGTGTGGTGGTGATGGATGGGTTCATCTACATCGCAGGTGGGGAAGACCAAAATGATGCCAGGAACCAGGCTAAGCATGCTGTCAGCAGTCTGAGCAGGTAACCTGGGCTCCAACCTGGCCATGGGGTTCCTGGGGAGGGGTTCAGAGCCAGCATGCCCTATGGCCTGTGTCCAGAGAGCATCAAAATAGGCTCAGAAAGAGTTGTCAATAAGTAGGAGGTTGGTCTAGTGTCTGGGATAAACCTGCTAGGGAGGGACAAAAGCAGTGAGGATCAGCAAAAGATGCTGGACTGGGGGAGACCTCCAGGCATTTGATTTGTGTGACCTCAGCTTGTGTTTCCCTTGGGGGCTTTGGCAAACCAGGCTGTGCTGCACACTTTCTTCAGCACCATGCAGCACCTGGCATGGGCCGAGGGCGAGGAAGTGCCTCTTCAAAGCTGCAGTGCTCCACGAAGAGCACTCCTCATTATTTAGCTGTTTTTTTAAGTTCAGAAGTAGCCCATTTTGATACTCTGGAAAGCTCCCCTTCCAACCACTGGCTGTTCCTCCAACCAGTGCCAGCCTCGACAAGATCTCTAGTTTGGCAGGATTCATTTTAAGGTAGATTTACTGTCTGCGTGATCCCTATTGCCCTTCAGTTTTTCTCCCCTTCACCTCCCTCTCCTCCTTATTTAAATGATGGAGTTTGTTTCCTGAATCCCCATAAACCCGTCACTGGATTGCAAAGGGATTGCTATTAAAAGAAAGGTGTAACCATGGCAACCTAACAGGCAGTATTTTGTGTGAAACCTAAGCCCACACTTCCCATTGCCTCTGCTTGTGGCTTGTCTCAGGGACCTGGGGCTCCACAAGAAATGTTGGCACTACTTGAGGCCATCCCTTCCCTCACCGGAGACCTACCGTGACCTGTCCCAGTCTGGGATGTGGAGGGATACGGCCCCAGATCACCACCCATCGGTTAGGAGCAGTCACTGGGCTCCTTCTCCTGCACTGAGCGAGGTTTTGGGACTCACTGGCAGGTCTCCTTTCTATTTGTAGCCGGTGTCTGAGCCATCCTTTCTGGCCTGGCCTTAGTCCCCGTGGCATCGCTTTCTGGGCACAGTAATTCAAGTTCCCTCTGCCCTCATGTGGGCACGCCAGGAGCCTGCTTTGCCTCACATGCCTTGCTTTTGCCTGGCAGGGGTGAGCAGAGAAGACCTGCCTCTAGGTCCTGCTCTCCCCACTGCCACGCTGAGACCCAGTGGAGGGGAGAGCATCGGGACTTGAGGAGCCAGAGCAACTGGCTCTGGTGCCAATCATGGACAGATCCCTCCTCTCTCCTGCAGGTACGACCCACGCTTCAACACCTGGCTGCACCTGGCCAGCATGCAGCACAAGAGGACACACTTCAGCCTGAGCGCCTGTGACGGGCTCCTCTATGCTGTCGGAGGGCGCAATGCTGGGGGCATGCTGGCGTCCATCGAGTGCTACGTCCCCACCACTAACAGCTGGCAGACTAAGGCAAGCCTGGAGACACCCCGCTGCTGCCATGCCACCACCGTCATCGACGGCAAACTCCTGGTCACCGGTGGCTACATCAACTATGCCTACTCCCGCACCGTGTGCAACTACGAGCCCAGCACCAACACCTGGAAGGAGCAGGCAAGGCTCAGCACGCCTCGGGGCTGGCACTGCGCAGCCACCGTGGCCAACCGGGCGTACGTGCTGGGTGGGAGCCAGCTGGGTCCCCAGGGCGAACGGGTGGACGTGATGCCTGTGGAGTGCTACAGTCCAGCCACGGGGCAGTGGAGTTACGTGGCGCCCCTGCCCACGGGGGTCAGCACAGCCGGGGTGGCTCTGCTGGAGGGGTGCTTGTGTCTAGTGGGTGGCTGGAACGAGAGCGGGAAGAGGTATCAGAAGTGCGTGCAGTGCTACAACCCTGACCTCAATGAGTGGGCCGAGGCCGAGGACCTCCCCGAGGCCACTGTGGGTGTGTCGTGCTGCACAATCACCCTCCCGCGCCCCCAGAGCCGCGAGTCCCGGGCCAGCTCCGTGGCCTCAGCCGCAGCCAGCATGTAAGGAGGCCTGGGTGCCACACGCCTTAGGCCAGCAGCTAGGAAAGGAGACAGAGCTCAGGCCTTGCCCATGGTGTGCAGGGCAGCTGGATGGGGTAGTACACTTATGTTTGAAGTCACTCCAAGGTCTCAAATACTCTTCTTCCATCACAGCACATTTTGAGCTCTAGGAAAGCTGCCTGCATCTCTCCATCCTGCCGCTTAAGCAGGGATTGTTAAGCAGGGCAGACACGGAATCAACCATGGGAGGGAACAACCTTTCTCATCAGTCTGCAGTGCTATATCACATCGTGAAAAAAAAAAAAAAAAGAAAAACAGTAAAACAAACTGGAGTAATGCAGGAGGAATTCTACTGTAGGAATAGTATCGCAAGACACTTTCAAAACAACAGTAGTAATTGTATTAGATATAAGAAAGTGACAGGTCTAGAATAGCTCCTGTTGCTCTTCACACAACAACTGTTTGTTCAAGGGAAACATATTTATTAATAACTCATTGAAGCTAGACACCTTCAGAAAGTGAATCTTTATACCAGGAAAGACAATCAATCATTGGAACAACTTACTAAGATTTCTGTTCTAAGAGCTCTGTTTCAGCTCAAGCAGAGAGAATCGGGGAGTGCCAGGGGACGCTAACTATAAGGCTCCAGGCGATTCAAGAGGCAAATGGTGCCCTGAAATTAAGTATCAGCTAGATCAGAGGCCAGCAGCTCTTCATATCTTAAGCAGGAGCCATCTTAGATATATTCCTAGTACCATCAAGCTGACAGCTTGGTCTTCAACTCAGTCGCTGCTTCACCATTGTTGTAAAATCAGGGTCTGGCCTAAGAGACTCCTAAAAGGAGAATGACTATAAAGAGGCCACTTGTTTCCTCAAACAAGTGTTTGCTCAGTGTCTGGAGACCCTCCCTGTCATGAGCGCATACATGCACTGAGTTTGAGTGAGACAACTTATTGGTCTTTCTTTAAAATCTGACAGACCCCTCTTGGCACAGAACCTCTGTGCTCTTCTCACCCCACGGCTCTAGTGCTGTACTAGGACACAATGGCCCTTCAGAGGGCGTAGGGATTGCAGGAACTCCTTTACAGGGCCGCAGAGGTCGGGACTCACACTCTCAGTTTCGGTATCTCAGGACAACCCTCATCACAGCGATCCAAAACCCTGCCCCAGCAGGTCTCAGATACAGCCTAAGAGTTATGATAACCTGTGACATGCAGGAGGTGAGAGATTGGTGTTTTCCTGGCCCCAACCCATGCTTATCACAGAACACCACACAGAAGTCATATGCTGAGGCCAGAATCTTTTGATAATGGGGGTCATGCTACTGGAGAACATTTATATGCAATTCCAGACTGGCTTGTCACCTCTGTCTTGGACCTTGGCTGCAAGTGAACTATGCAATGCTGAGCATCCAGGCAAACGCTCTTGGTTTTGGTCTTTTTTGCACAACGTAACAAAATCACAACCAGGAAGCCACTGAACCCCTTAAAGGGGACTCCCATGTGCTGCACGCCAGGCAATGCCAAGGCAAGAACTTCAGAAAAACAGATCATATTGCACTTACTTCACCAAAATCGCCAAAGCTGAAAAGCCAATAAGCAGGTTGCGTGGGTTATCATTCACATAGGAGAGGTATTGATCTTTCCCTAGGAATTCCCTATTTCAATTCAGACAGGGTAGGTTCATACCAAGAAGCCTAAACCTATGCAAAGGCAGTACAGAGCTACATAGATGCATTATTTCTGTTCAGCAAGTTTACTCTCCTCCATGCATTTTTTGCATGAACAGAACATGCTGCACTGCATATTCTGGAAAGGGCCCCATCCTGAACAGCACTGGCAGCCTCCTCTGGTTTACAATTCAAAATAGGCTTTCCTTGCTGGAGTTACAGCACTTGAAAAGTGCTGTAATCTTTGAGACAACACTATACTAGTCACTGGTGTTACAGAGCGTGCGTGTATTTGAATGGAAGTGAACTTGTCCCTTGTTCCTTCTTTTTTTTTTAATTACATTTTTTACTGCTACATGCTTGAGAGGACAAAATGCTAGAGCAGAGGCAAGGATGTTGCTGAACTCCAGTTGCGTGAGCTGTGTTGTCCTGCAAGGAATTTTCTCTCTAAACAATAAAAGCCACTCCTTTGCAGGGGCAGTCTGTCTGGCTGTATAATTACAGTATTTGATTTTTACCAACTCCAGTAGGTATTGAAGTATTTTTAACCAAGTCCAGATCCATCCTCCACCTTTCAGGTACTTTTAGTATTATCTTGTTAGCACTTCTGCAGTGTGTTAAGAGCACCAAGGAGATCCCTGGGGTAGGAACAACTCTACCAGCTGTAGGTAAGGGCAGCTGAGGTCACCCACACACACTACTAAAGGAAGCAGCAGGGATCATGAGTTGTTCTGCTGGCTGATATTCAGCCCCCTCTTGCCCTGGCAGGTTTGAATCTTGGTTCAGGAGCCTTGCCAGTCCCAGAACACTGCCAGCAGCATATGCATTAGTCATTCAGGCTCAGGCGTTTTAACCAAGTTCTGTCATGCTTATTTAGACAAAAACCCTCAGCCACGTTTTGAATCTACTGCTGTGCTTTATCAAGAGTCTGAAAGGGAGGTATGTGCACCATTTCCTTTCTGTTTTTCCTATTGAACTTACACTTCACTGGGTCTTAGGGCACCTGAGGTTTTTCACAAATACAGAACCCCTCTTCCACTTTTAAGAGCAGACCACCCTTCTGACTGCAGGCTTGGGCTGTGGGAAGACCAGAACAAGCATGTTGAACTCTTCTGTCCTCCTCTGGAATTTAACCCTCAGAAAATTGTTCTGCACCTCAAGTGGCCAAAAATATTTTCTTTCTATGACCAGCCACTGACTCTAGTAACAATTTTGCTGCTTAATTATACTGTTGGACAATACAAAAGTGAAGACTACACATTAAATCCAACACCTGCTCCTTGAGAACAGCACCTTCTCTTCCAACTGCACAGCATCACAGTCCACACGGTTCTGCTGCCTTTTCAATGCGAGTGACCCTTGTTCCCAGCAGCTTCCCAGGGCAGGAGTCCCCACAAAATTCACAATAGCAGTTCAGGGTTAGAAAATTTTATTTCCTTTTTCATTACAGGAATTATTTGCCTGGAAGGATGATGCCATCATACTGTGAGATAGAGAGAGAGAGAGAAAGAGAGAGAACACCAAGTGAGAAAGCAGTCAGGTAAAAGTGCAGTACCACTGCGGTGGTACTCCCCAAAGTTGCCTTACTGTTAATTTCAAAGGGGGGCTTGGTTCAGATAGCCATTAAACTCCACTCCTCAGCCAAGTGAGACAAGACGACCCTTCCCTTCACGGGTTGATCTGAGCAGAATTATACTCATCCCTTGTACAGTCCCCAAGGTATGGCCCTTGAAGACAAGCTATGTCACAATGAGCAGTACCAGGGATTAGGGGAAAAAAGCCATTCAGCAGGTTAGCAGACTTAAGTCCTTGCTGTGCAGGGTATGACCAATGTAGATCTAGGCAGAGTAGCCAAGAAAGCTGCCAGATGGACTCCTTACCCTTTCTACCTCTGATAAACAAAGGCTCCAAGTATTTGCAATCAAAGTTTTGGCATCTCACATTCATTATACAGTCTGTGTCAGGAAAAGGTATGGAGCACTGAACCCAAGAATGGGTTTTACTTGGACTGCTCCATCCTCCAAGCCTGCCAGCTGAGCCCGAAGCCCCACAGGACAAAAACTCTAACCCTGCTTACTTGCTTGTGATCCAGGAACATGCAACACTCTGAGCAACTATGGGAGGGTCCTATACTGTGGGTCACCTTTCAGGGTTGTGTGCAAAAGGGAGAGACGGGGTTTAAGAGTTTCTGCTTCACTGTACTTTTCCCTATTTTGTAAAGGCTTCTTCCAAGATTAAAAAGTTAATAAAACCACCACATACAAGAGCTGATACTTCTAGCTATCCTGCGAGAACTGCAGTTTAAGCTCACACCACACAAAGGGACACGAACAGTACTCATGTTCAAATGCAGCTTCCATTACTCCAGAGCAGTACAAAATCTGTTTTAAGCAATAGTTAACAACTATTTCTGCCTACTACAGTGTCATGCTCAATAACTTGTTTTAGTCTTTCTGCAAGAAGAATCAACAAGGCCACTGAAGCACTTTGTCGATAAGGTTGCTAGCAATTTCTTGGGATACAAGAATAAAGTTGGACTTTACCTTCTGCTGGAACCAACGCATGGCTTCTTCCTTTCCGATTCTGTGCTTGGCTCCAATGCTGCCAGTCCTGCGTTTCTTGTCAGCGATACTGAAGCCAGGTCTGCCCAGCACCTGGCAGGGGAGAAGATCAACAGCACTATTTCATTCTGATTAATTATTTGTTTTAAACTTAACACTTTTCCAGGAAGAAAGTTTAGAGTTTCCAGATCACTGGTAATCTTGTTGTCCGAGTTACAGATGAGACTTCATAGCAATACCTTCTACGGCCTCAATGCAAACTGAAAACTATGCGACTTTTGCACAGCCAGGTAAACTGACAGGGTCAGCTCCTAGGCTGGACACCTTGCGACGTACACAGACTCAGAGAAACAAAATGAGCCTGGAAGATGCGCTATTTCTCCCCGAGAGGCCTCAGATCCCCAGAAAAAACATATGTTTAACAGCACTGTTAGCACGCATGAAACAGCTTTCTTCTTATTTCAGAGATTTAGATTTGGGGCACAGCAGAATGGAGAGGATCAAACACACCAGCCACCAGCACATCCCATGACCATCTCTTCTGAATATTCCAGCAGAGCACTAATAATACAATCAATATAGCTTATTAAAGGCTCTGATGCATGCAGTAGAGAGGCTTAGTCACAATGCACCACTTCAGATACAAGGATCAGCCAGCCTGAATTCCATGTTTCTAGATCTGCCTGAACTCGACAGCCTTCAGCCTGCATTCACTTCTTCCTTTCCGAAGAAGTTGGCCAAAATCTAGCACGTGATTCCTCTCAGTGTTATCCCAGAAACAGCAGTATGGAGCAACAGTATTTGTTTCCAACGAGGCTTTGTGAGAGGTGTCCTAAATTAAGGTTCTTGCAGCAGCCCTGTGAAGCTCAGTTTAGACTTGGATTTTGTTGACATCTTTGCAGCTTCCAATACTGGACAGCAAGTTAACATGAGCCAGAGTTACCATTCTAGGCTCCTTCCGTATCTTTCACACAAAAGCAGTAACCACAGGGAGACAGAGAATACGCACCACGTAAAAGTCCAAGCCGTAGATACCAATACTGGGATCGTATTTAATTCCCAAATCAATGTGCTCCTGGATTCCAAAGCCAAAGTTCCCAGTGTCTGAGAAGTTGTTTTTCCTCAACTCATATTCTCGCACCTGAAATATTTGTTGCCAGTTATTATTTCATTATTGACTGCAAAACAAATAAGTCCTGCATGTGCTACCAACTTCCAGATCCACAGGTTCTTTACACACAAGTCTTCGGCCATCAGATTCTGACCCCACAGCCTTAGAAACCACAGCAGCAGAGACAGAACCTCTAAAGAAAGCAGCAGCCACACCAACTAGCTCTTAAATAAGCAAGGAAGCGACCAGCTACAGACTGCAAACACAACACTCTATAGATCAGACACAAATGTTAACACCCATGACTGACCAGCAACTAGATCACATGCAGTATTTCAAAGCACATGTTATGACTTTCCAGTTAACGCAGTTTATGTTTTGAGATTTCGCAGATAAACCACAAAAAATCAGACCAGCCAAATTCTCACCTTCAACCCCTTCTCCAGAATCTCCTCTGCTTTGGCCCCACGAACTGTGCAGTGAACAGCAATCTTCTCATTTCTCCTGATTCCAAAGGATCTTACGGTATATCGTGCTGTAAGCAGCAATAATTACACTTAGAGACGACACAAGGAGTTCCCACTTGAGGGTCACAGAACTTACTTTAGAAGACTAAAGAAACTACTTAAAAACAAGACCACCACACATTCTCTGTTTAGGGACGGGAGCACAGCTGCAGCCTGAGTCTAGAAAGAGAACTGAACTGACAGAAGCGATCACCATTTAAGGCCCCATTCAGACAACCACAACCCTGGAGGCCCAGGGGCAGATTTCCCCACGCTGGCTCTGACAGGGAGACTCTTCCGTGCGAGCCGGGCTGTCATTTCACACCACGAGCACTCAGGAAAGCAGAAGACAGAGCAGCAGCCACCCCTCACCTTTGGAGAAGACGGGGGTCTGGCCCGTGAGCTGCTCCAGCACTTTGGCCGCTCGGGTGAGCCTGTCCCCGCTCTCCCCCACGCAGATGTTGAGGCAGAGCTTGCGGATGCGCAACTCGCGCATGGGGTTCTCCTTCTCACCTTGGTCTTGCTGCGGAGAGACCACACGGGGGCTGACGGGGGGG